ATTTTCTTAATAACTTCCTCCTGCCTAGGCATTTTATAATTTTTCCAATTCTTAGCAAATACAATCCTAGCCACTGTTAGTACATTTACTATCAAATATTTTGACTCTTTGTTGTATATTTCTGCTATAATTCCCAATAAAAAGATCTCTGGTTTAAAGTCTATATGTTGTTTTATCATTTTTTCCAACCATGTGTGGATTTTAGTCCAATATTTCTTTGCATCCAAGCATGTCCACCACATATGGTAATATGAACAAAGTATCGGATGACACTTCCAACATTTATCCAATTTATTCTTAAACATTCTCACAAGTCTCGTCAGGGGTAGGTGCCACCTGTAAAACATCTTATACAAATTTTCTTTATATGCAGTTGACATTGTCATTTTATAATTTTGAGACCACAATTTTTGTCATTTTTCTAAATCAATTCCATATCTAAAAGTTTTCCCCCAAGCAATCATCATTTCTTTAACTTGTTCCTCCTCCAATTTAAATTCTAATTAAATGTCCATAAAATTTTTTAATTACCTTTTCATCAGTACCTATCAAAATCTCATCTAAGTCAGTCAACTTATCATAAATACCTTCTGCTTTACCATCTTTGTCAAATCTAGATTGTATTTGCAAATATACAAACCAATTCATTTTTACACCCTGTTCTTCCAATGCTTGCATAGATTTAAGTTCACCCTTTTCATTCAATATCTCACCATATCTAACTGTTTGTTCCTTTTTATATATTATTGGATAAGAAAAGGCTTCAATGGTAAATATCCATAGTGGAATTTTTTAATAATATTGTCTTTTTATCTTTTCCCAATTCAAAAGCAATGCCTCTCGAATATAATGTCTTCTAAAATACCCCTGTGTTTTAGTTCCCTTGTACCAAAGGAAGGCATGCCATCCCAACAGCAAGTCATGCCCTTCTAAGGTCAATAGTCTATTGTTCCTTAATGTTATCCATTCCTTTACCCACATCAAATTTGTTGCTTGGTAATACAACTTCCAGTTAGGCAAGGCAAACCCTCCTCTTATTCTTGCATCTTGTAACAATTTTAATTTTATTCTTGCTTTTTAGCCCTGCCAAATATGTTTCAACACAATTCTATTTAAATCTTCAAAAAACTCCTTCCCTAGTCAAATTGGAATTGTCTGGAATAAATATAAAATTCTAGGCAATACATTCATCTTAATTGTAGATATTCTCCCAATCAATGATAATTGTAAGTTTCCCCATTTTGTCAAATCTGTCGCAATCTGCTGTTTGAGTTTAAAATAATTATCCTTTTTCAGTGTACTACATCTTGATGTAATGTATATCCCTAAATACTTAACCTTGTTTGTGACCTGTATTTCTAAAACTTCTTCCAACTCTTTCTTTTGTATTACTAGCATATTCTTTGTTAGTATCTTTGTTTTATCTTTGTTTATTTTCAAATCTGCTACTTTTCCATATTCTTCTATTTTTTCTATTAATTTAGGTGGTGTTTCCAATGGGTCTTCTAATATAAATACCAGGTCATCTGCAAAAGCTTGCAATTTATACTCTTCCTTTTGGATTTTCATTCCTTTCATTTCTTTATCTTCTCTAATATTCCTATTCAACACTTCCAGTGTTAACACAAACAGCAGGGGAGACAGTGGACAACCTTGCCTTGTCCTTTTTCTTATATCTATAGATTCTATTAGTTCTCCATTTACCATAATTTTTGCAGTTTGTTCATAGTATATCATTTCAATGGCTTGATTGATTTTTTTACCAAAGCCCATTTGTTCCAATTGCAATAACATAAATTGCCAACTCACATTGTCAAAGGCTTTTTGTGCATCTAAAAACATCAAAGCCATTTGCTTCTCAGGAGGTGCCTCGTAGTATTCCAGAGTATCCAAAATAATTCTCACATTGTCTTTGATTTGTCTCTTTGGCAGGAATCCATTTTGATCGATATGGATAAAGTTATTTAAGTATCTTTTTAGTCTTTCTGCCAAGATTGAAGCAAAGTTTTTATAGTTTGAATTTAATAGGGATATAGGTCTGTAATTTTTAACTTGCTGCAGGTCTGTATCCTCCTTCAGTATAAGTGTAATGTATGCTTCTGTCTATGTTTGGGGTATTTATATAACTTATTTATTTATATAACTTCATCCATAATTTCTAATAGGTGAAGATTCAATATTTCCTGAAAGGTTTTGTAAAATTCCACTGGTAAGCCATCTGGACCTGGTGCTTTTCCAACATTCTGTTTTTTTAAAGCTTCTGTTAATTCCCTCATTGTTATATTCCCTTCTAGCATTGTTTCAATATCTTTAGGTATCTGAGGTAGGTTTGCTTTCTGTAAATATTGCTTAACTTTTTCTTCTTGAATATTCTCTTGAAAATACAATTTCCCATACTAATCTTGTATAATTTTTTTTCCTACTCATTTCCATAACATGTATGTCCTTCATTTATTAGTTGGCTAATCCTTCTTAATTCTCTCTCCTTTCTCAATTTATAGGCTAGCCATCTGCCTGGTTTATTTGCATCTTCAAAGTAATTCTGTTTAGCGTTTTTAATTTTTTGTGCTAGTTCCTCTTTTTCCATTAGTCCCATTTTATGTTTAATTATCTCCATTTTATTTTTAATGTCTTTTTTGACGGGGTCTTCTGTAAGGCTTTTTCCAGTTTTTTATAATCATCCTCTAATATTTTGAAAGTCTTTTTCTGTTTTATATTTCTTTTCCTTATATAGTCTATTATCAAGCCTCTTGTGTAGACCTTCATCGTGTCCCAGAGGTTCTGTAGAGATGTATCCTCTTTTCTATTTTCTTTAAAGAAGAAAGCAAGTTCTTTCTCTATTTTCTGTTTAAAGTCTTTTTTAAAAATATTGTATTATTTAAGGTCCATCTGGATCTCCTCTTGTATCCTCTCCAAGTAACTGTCACTTGGTTATGATCTGCCCAAGTGCTTGTTTCTATTTCGATCTCTTGTATGTTAGCCAGTAGTTCTGCTGACATCCATATCATGTCTATTTTAGACCATGAAGCATGTCTGTTTGAGTAAAAGGTGCATTGCTTACTCTCCATGTTTCTGTCTCTCCAAGCATCTTTTAAGTTGAATTCTTCTGTTATTTGAAAGAAGGATTTTGCTAATATCTTTTTAGCTTTCTTTGTTGATTTCTGCATTTTGTAATCCAACTGATCATCAACTATTCCATTAAGATCTCCCATCATACAAATATTAACATAGTCCAATTCAATTATTTTCATATGTAATTTCCTGTAAAATTCTTCTTGGTTATCATTCGGAGCATAAATTGCAATTAAAAATGCTTTAACATTATTGTCCATTATTTCCATCATCAAAATCCTTCCATCGTCATCTATATAAATTAATTCTGCCAAAATTGTGTCTTTAATATATAAAACCACACCTCTTTTTTTAGATTGTGCCAGTGATGTAAATAATTTCCCTATTTTTTTTTGTTTAAGTATATATTCATGTTGTTTTTTAATATGTACTTCTTGTAAGCAAATTATATCAAATTTCAATTTCTCTAGTTTATGAAATACTTTCCTTCTTTTAGTAGCCAAATTAAGTCCATTTATGTTAATCGTAATCAATTTTCTTTCATCCATGTTAGGCTTTGTGAGGGGTTTTTATTGCTCTAGTAGGTCTTAATTCTCATTGCTCTCCGGGTACACCACCTACTGCACCTTCTTCTTTCTCTTTTTCAATTACTGCTATACACTCCTCTTGGAATTCAATTAGTGACTCTTCCTTTCTAGCTTCTTGCTCTTTTCCTCTAAAATATTCTAAGTAGAATAGTTCAGCTTTTTCAACTGTGTCAGTTCTGTGTCTTTGTTCCTGCCAGGTGAACAAGAGGCCTTCTGGCATCAGCCATCTGTAATTTACTCCTCTTTTAAGTAACTCTTTGGTCAAAAATAAATATTCCCTTTTCATCTCTCTTACTCTTCTTGGTACCTGTTTCAGCACAATTTCTTTATCTTTGTACTTACAAATTTTCTCTCTTGCCACCTGCAGTATCTGTGTCTTGATAATCTTTTTAGTGAATCTGATGTGAACTTCTCTTGGTAGTCTGTTTCTCATTGCATATCTTGTATATACACGGAACACTTTATCCATCCCATCCAACATCTTCTCGTTGATTATCTCTAATGGTTCTGCCAGTATTTCTGTCATTATTTCAGCAAGATTTTCACCTTTTCCTTCTTCTACATTTTGAAATCTTAGGTAGAATTCTGATCTTTCAATTTCCCATCCTAATGGTTCACATCTGCCCTTCTCAATATCACTCAATCGAGTATCAATATCTCCAATTTTCTTGTCCCTTAGTGTATCTTCTTCATTTTTAAAAAAATCTATCTTCATATTTCATCATCATCTGTTGAATATTTTCTACTTTCTCATCTGTCTTTTCAATTCTTTGTTCAATATTCTCCATTCTCTTTTCAATCTTCTGGATTCCTTGCATAATCATCTGTATGTCACTTCTTTCTCTTTCTCCTGTTGTAAGATTGTCTGTATTGACCATTGTCCTCCAGATGGTGAAGAAGCTATTGGTATTGAGGAAGCTGGTGTTGTTGTCTTTCTGCTCATCTTGTAGTGCTTACCTGTAGAGAGGAAGAGAGAAAAAGGAAAAAAGGAAAAAGAAAAAAAAAGAGTACAGGCAGGCAGTTGCCACTCCCCCCTCCCCCCCCCAAAAAAAAGGGGGGGAGAAAAATCTTCAGGCACTTATGTATCTTAATCCAATTATTTCTCTTAATAAAAAAGAGAAAAGGAAGAAGAAAAAAAAGTAAAAAAAATACATTCTAGTTTCTGAAATATAAGGTTAAAATCCAAACATAAAAATCCAACCCGGGGGGCGGGGGGAATAGAAAAGGAGGTGGAAAATAATCTAGAGTTAAACCAGCTGCTGCCACTAAGTATCCAAGGCTCTTTAATAAACCAAACTCAATGTTTCTGGTTCCTGTATTTTCAAGGTCACTTCAATCTTCTTTCTTTCAACTTTGGCTCAAAACTCTAAATATTTCATTTTACAGATGAGTACCTGTATAATCAATCTACTATGCTCATCCCACTACCTTTTCCATTGCAAAGCTCAGAGTCCTTGAGTATAGCAAGTACATAAACAATCTGAGAAAGAAAGAAACAATATGTCCAAGCCTCTAAATAGCAGTGCTACTTTTTTCCCCCTTCACTTTCACTCCCCCCTCTTGTATCCAATACCAGAAACAAAAAGCGAAAATGGAATCATTCCTTTTTTTTGGAAAAAAAAATCAAAACAGACTTTCAAAAAATTATTTAAAAAAATAAAAACAAGGATGAAAATTTAAAAGAAACCAGTCCAGTTTAAAGTTCAGTAACTTTACCAAATTCAAAGTTCCAATAAAAAGGGGAAAAGAAAAAAAAACTTTTCACTTTAACTAGTTTAATTTCGCCGCTTAAACTCTTTCCTCTTCACTTTTAATTTCACTTTAAATCTTTCAGGATGTTCTCTTCAAGTAATAATAAGTAAAAGTTCATCTCACCAAGCTGACACACTTTCCTTCAATCTCTTCCATTCCGGAGCTGTCCCAGCTTCAGCAGCTTGAGTGGCTGCCTCTCTGCCGCCGGCAAAAGGACTTTTCCTGGATCAACCAGGGACTTTGCGATGTCCCTGGTATTGACAGGATGTGCCCTCCTCAGTCACCATCTCTACAGGATGGTTTAGGTCCGGTGGGACCGTCCTGCAACGGAGATATCAGTAGTGATCTTGGAGCTTCAAGATCACACGCTGTACCGCTGAGATACCAGCTGTGCCCCCCCTTCCTTATTTCAATTATGTTCTCTTTTGCAAAGAATTAGTAGTATAAAATTTGCTGAAGAAATCTGACTTCTCTCTAATCTCTAATCTGATTTATCTTGTCTTCATAGTGATAACCATTTCAAATGCTTTGTTGTCATAAACATATACTCTTCTTCTAATAAGATTTCTTTCAGAATGAACACAATTTCTATTTTCTGCAGCCAACCCTATTATAAATCCCCAGAATCCCCTTGGGCTTTTCAAGCCCTTGTGAATCTTGTGTTTTGGAGAAGTAGAAATTGGCTATTCCCAGGTTCATCTTGAAATAGTTTGCATAGAAGCACTTTGTTAGCCTTAGGGACAGATTTATTGACTTTAGCTATACCAGAGACCATTAAAGCTTCAAACATTAATCCTTTAGATTCAGTGGTGATTTTGGGAGCTGAAATAAATAGATACCTGTGTTGAAAAAATGATACAGTTAGCAGGTTTCTTGAGAGCAACAAAGCTCATTGAAGTTTATTAAATTGGTGGCTTGAAAAAAAATATGTTATTTAACCACTGTCTTGTAAACTTGTTGCCAAAATATTCCAAGATTAATGGCATGCCAAAATTCTACACAGAACTATAAATGAAGTTTGAAATATTTAGGACAATACCATCAAATTTTTTAGTGTTAGAAATACTTTTTTAGTATCAGCCAGGTACTACAGTACTAAAACTGTATTGGAATGAGAAGTTTTTGGACTAAAGAAACAGGAACATGGAAACAAAGCAAAACAAAGCAAGTCTTATCAGAGTTGTAGTCTCAAAGCTGTAGAACCATCAGTGCCTTCACTGCATTTCCCCAAAATCTCCTGGCCCTTCTACTTGTTTATTTATTAAATTTATATGCTGCCCATCTCACTATTTAAAGCAGGCAATAAACTTGTTTACCCACTCAGATCATAGAAATTGTTTTTCCATTGACTTAACCCTTTCCCTTAGTTTAGGATAAGGTGAACTGAACCTTAAGTAAAAGAGAACAGTTGAATAAATAGGAATGAGAGGTGAATTTTGCCAGAAAGCTGGGTCTTTTTTGGTAAATTGTCCCCCCTTGTCCCCCCAAAGTGGAGCTCTATAATTTGCCAGTAAAAGAGAAAAAAAGAGTAAGCTGTCAGGATTCTGGCAGTTACTCCAATTAAATCATAAGCCTTGAGCCACACTCCCAAAACTAAACAAGATTTATTTAAAGGTAACATTCTATGTCTGGCATTTACCTGGGTGTAGCCAACTCTGAGATATGTAATTCACTGTCAACCTTGATCCTACTTCCCTCCTGCCCGGGTGTATCATCCAACAAAAAATGTCCATAGCAAAGAGTCATCAATCATGCTCTCCAATTAGATTTTTGCATGGCAGACGCTTCAGTCATCTAATCAGTGCTTGAAGAAAATATGAATGGAATATACTTTTGATTCCACACTGCCACCTGCTCTTTGACCCCCCCCCCCTTTTCTTTCTGTTGTCAACTATAAAATGTGTATACAAATGTTTTATGAATTGACATAAGCAAGTTGGCTTTCTCCCAAGGTTTTTGCCAGACTTTTATCTTCTGTAAAGTTATTGGAAGGAGAATATCAAGCATTTGAAGAGAAGACACATCTTTTGGTTGATTTATCTAGAATGCTGGTGAGATAGCTATGAGTGGGGAAAACATTATTCATTTTATTCCTAAAACAAGGACTAAGTCTCCTTACCAAACCATAGAATCAAGAGTATTTTGGAAGGGTGGCAGGTGATAAACTAACTTATTTTCTGTAGCATTGCTGGTGATAGTAAATACAGAGGTGTCTGTCTGATGTAATCATGGGTGCATTTGCTAGGAAGAAAAGTGAATTATTGCCTGAGATGGGTGACTGTGGAAACTGAATGAATGAATGGATAAAAGTACTTTGTAGCATAATCCTTCAAAATGGGAGGAGCAGGAACAATGACTAGACTCTATGTAAGGCCTCTTCCCAATTTTTGTAATCTAGCAGCAAATTGAAAAATGGCAGCCAAGTGATTTGAAGATTATGTGGAAAATATAATAGTTTTTTTAAAGAAAAATGGGCACAGAAGCATCAGAAAGAAGAATTATAGGGGAATTATACAACTAATCTGAACACAGTTAAAATGGGACAAAAAAATCCTGTCACCTCCTATGATATAATTTCTTATGTGTTCTGCCAGTAAAACTTTATACAGATTTTTTTTTTCAAAAGAGCCACCCCTGACCAACAAATAGTTCTCCATTCTAGCTTTGAACTCTTTTTAAGGAAAAGTAGAAGAAACCTTCTGCCACCTTGTGTACATTGCAGTTAAATTCCCCATCCTTAACATTAAGAAAACACAACATTTGTCTTCACATAACATATTAAGCCCAAGCATTGCTGCTTGACACGATGGTCTGATTCACACAACATTCTCATAATAGGACTGGGTTCCCACCACATAAACTACTCATCCACATGTTAGCTTAATCTGGCTGCTGTAGAATTTCAGTCCTTGTACCTCTTCTACCTAAAATAGAAATGGAGAAAAATATATATAACTATCTTTCTTTCCATTGGTTGTACTCTGATAGAATGCATAGTTGAGAAACATTTGGAGGGACTAGTTTCATTACCCTGTTCTAGGAATTAAACACTGGGTTTCTTGTAAATGTACTGTAAATGCTGAGCACTCCTATGAGTTGTAATTTCTCAGTGAGATCTTAGTTGGAATACTCAGAATTTGGATATTAGATTTTTATTAGATTTTATTTTTATAATCAATTGGTAATGCTTCTTCCAAATATGAGATCCAAATATTTAGGAGAGGAAAAATGGGACTGAGATACTACAAGGTACAATTTTGCCCAGAGAGGTTTCAGATCTATCATTTTAAAGTTTTGTTTATCTGCTTTTTTTTAAAGGGCTGTAATTTACCATTTAACAAAAAAAGTTTTTTTTTTAAAAAAAATTCCCTGAATCTACAGGAGTTTGGATTAATCAGAAGACAAAGAGCCATGAAAGAATAATCAAAGTCCTAATGCTGGATCACTCAATTGTTTGGCCTTCAGAGGCAACTCTGAAAGGTTTATGCTTATGCTAGCAAAAAAATGTGAAGTTTGTACTGTATAATCCAGGGCAACATGTCAGTACGCTTTTATTTGATTCCTCAGAAACTGTTATTAATTTATCTTAGAAGGGAGGGGTAGTGAGTTAAAAGGAATAACTTGTAAATTGCATGTTTATATAATTTTTGAAGCAAGTGTGTTTGTCAGCTAATGATTATAGCATCAAGAAATTACTTGCATGTTTCAATGGAGACATCAAATCAATCACAAGATGTACCCCCTATTTTCCATCACATTAAAAACCAGCCCACCTAAAGCAGGTTTCAACAAAGGTGGGGTGGTTTTTTTTTTAATAAACAGGAGATTACCTTCATTAAATGATTATTCAGGCCTCTGAGAGTTTCAGATGTATGTCTAGTAATACAAGACCTGTTTGGATGGATGGGAGGGTCAGGTTTTTTTTTTTAAGGATTTCAACTTTAGTGAAAAATACTAAAAGGCACATTGCCCATAAATGGTCCTTTTGCCAGCACAGCAAGCATAATCTTATACACGATTTGAAGTTAGGTTTTATATGTGGGGTGCAGCTTGCCAGAGACTATAGTTGTTCCACTTGAACACTGCCTGTTAGAGGCTTGGGGAGAGTCATTCTAAAAATGATGAATGTAGTCATATATAAAGACAGCTTATATGCTGAATGTTTGTAGAATTTAAAGGGAATGGACTTGAAGGACAAAAGGAAGAGCTGCTACCAAGGCAACAGTCGGGTAAAAGGGGGCTCTGAGTTGAGGCCAAGAAAGTAATATAAGTAAACCTTTCTGACAAGCCCCTCCCTTGTTTACACAAAGTTAAAGGGAGGGAAGGAAAGGAGTGCATTCAGATTTGCAATATCCTCTTAATGTAGCTCTGCAGTAAAAATTGTACTGACCTACAGTACATAGCATTTGCTTCCTAGCCTGGTCTACCTTGAAGGACAAGTCCATAATAACATAGAAAAGCTTTGCATGGAGAACTTTCAGATTTAATGCTTGCCATTACTAAATGAAAAGTTCACAGAAGGAACATTTGAAGAGATTTCTGTTTGAAAACTTGGTGAAATGCTGCTCTTAGCTTATGTAAAATTGTTTCTAATAACTCCTATGTAATGGTGTTTTTACTGATGATTGCAATGGCAGTCAACTGCTGTTTTTGCAAAATAAGGAAATACAGTCAGCCAAATGAAAGAGTTTTAATCCTCAGTGAAAAGAATTAAGCAAGTGTTTTATTTTATTCGTACCAAAATCAGAATTAATGATTAGGGCTTAATCGTGCAAGTTATTCTTCTATTTTTTTTCTTCCTCAGAGCATTTGTCTCAACAGGAATCAGAGTTATTTTGATAATCATTCATTACAAATAATCAAATTCACAGTTAATAAATGTGTTACCTCAAATGTTGCAACAGATGGGACATGTGAAATGTTTGAGCTTTTTTTTTTTACTAAAATAATGCTAAAATAAATGTTTCTCCCTCCCTATGATCTATGTTAGTAATTTTTCATTTTTCCCCCTTTTGGAAAACATACCAAATCAAACAAAGCCTGTACGCAAAGTGTATCCAAATTAAAATGGTGTAACTGGGAGTTAATGAACACTATTGCCCAAATTATTAGAACTTTCTGCATGAAAACATTTAATCCAATTTGCTCAAAATTAGCATCGCTGATGCTGCTGATGCATGCAGTTCAATAGTTCAGAGTTTCAAATTTTATAATTGGTTTCAGCAGTTTTTCTCTTTTCCCCCTTTCTTGTATTTTTTTAAAAAGCATTTATGTTTTCAGGGTATCACTAAATGGAATAAATTACTTGCACTCACTTCAAATGCAAACAGAAATGATGAAGCTTGTATGCTAGGGCACAGTGCAATTCTTTTCTTAGATGAGTATGAAGAATTAAAAACTGCAGTTAACAAAGAAGGAAACAAACCTGTATGATCTAAGCATAAAGAAACTCTACACATATCCATTTTGACTTAATTGGTATATTTGGAAAGGGAAAACATCTCATAAAACTGCCATTTTTAGGGGGGGCTTAGCGCTCTCTGAGCTTTTTTGTTTTCTCACAGACATTTCATTTCCAAAATAATGTAACATCATCAGTGTTAGAAAGGAGTGGGTTTTCTCTCATTTTGTATACCAGTGGCTTGCCCTGTCTGTATGCATGAAAGTGGTCTCAGTGGTTCTTTGATTGGGCTGTTGTTTACTATTAGTTTGTTTAGCAGATCCTTGATTGGGATATTGTTTGCTTCTTGATTGTTGGTCTAATGTTAATCTGCTCATCTAGGCGTTCATTGCTGTTAAGGAGGTATTTAGAACTTTAGGAATTACTTCTTTATTATTTTTTATTGTCACTTTTGAATGGAATATAGATGTTGTTTCTCTATATCTATGTGCCTCTTGATGGCAGTCTTCCAAGAATTCTCTTGCATTTTTGGACTTGGCTTGATCTAGAATGCTCACAGTTTCCCCTCTGAAACTATTTCTGCTGGGAAATGAAGGAATTGACAATTCTATTCATGTGTTTTGGCATTAACTAATTCACTGAGTGGTGGCAAGTCTAAATATATCATAAATGATAAAAGTGTGTTCATCATTTTATTCTATACCAACACATGGAATATTAGGAGACCTGCACAGATTAAAAGAAGGTTTTTATACCAAGAACAGTGTCTCTCCCCTGGTGGACTTTCTTATTTAGCATGATATTGAACCAACAATTAAATAATTGTGAGGAGGAGGAGGAGGAGGAGGAGGAGGAGGAGGAGGAGGAGGAGGAAATTGTTTCTGTAGATCTGATAATCCATAGGTATAATGTAGTAGCCATGGGCTCAAGCTGTAAATTAGAAACTACCCAGTTTGAATGAAATCTTATCCTTGTCTCATAAATGGCCTCAGACAAGTCTCAGTTTCTCTCCCAGCCTGTTCATATTATTTTTTCATGTTATGTGGGACACACTGTTTTATCTTGCATTTAATGAGTACTAAACAATGTAAATAAAATACTCTGAATATTTGGAAAAAATCATAATATTGCATTAGTGTTTCAATTACTGTGTAAGTGGTGTGGTGGCCTAGTGATGAAAATGCCCACCTCCCACTCAGAACGTTGAGAGTTCAATCCTTGGCAGTGACAGATGTTTCTATATCCGGGCACAAAGAAAAAATATCTGCTGGAAACTCTTCATAGACATCAGAAAGGACATCTGGCCAGTAAATCACTCACTTGTTCTGACCGCACCCTGAAGCAAGGGATTACAGGATTGTAAAAAGAAAAAAAAATGTTTCAATTACTGTAGTGGAATTAATAATGGTCTTACTTATTATAGAGCTAGTTGTTTGTTTAAGGAACTTGGCTACAGATCAGGGGACCATGAGTTCTAGTCCTGCCTTTGGCACAAAGGCAGCTGGGTGATCTTGGGCCAGTCACATCCTCTCAACTCTAGTAAGAAAACAAGGATAAACCACTTCCAAAATCTCCCCCCCTTCCACCAAAAAAAGAACCTCTTCAGGAACTAATCCATGCAGCCACCAGGAGTCAACAATGATTTCAAGGCATGTGCACACACACACACACACACACAAATCCCCACTTATTACTGTTATTTAAGCATGATTCTCCAGGACCAATATGTTTTTTTTATGCTTTTGCTCATAAAAGCAAAAGAAACAACTTGAAACAAAACCCTTTCCATTTCTGAGGATACAATGGGATCAATGTTTTACAAGAAAAAAATCTCACTCATAATTTATAAAAGCCTCAACTAAACCTCTCGAAAGACAGGTCACGAAAGATGCTGCAAGAAGAATGCAATCTTAACTAAGCTTCCATTCCTGCATGCCCAGACATATTAAGAGACAGTCAAGTCTTTGCATTAACAGCAAATGAGGGCATTGTCCAAAAATGTATTTCAGATGCTATAGAAACCGGAGAAAAACATTACATAAGAAGATGATGGAAGGAGAAATCTCCAATGCAATTTGAAATAATGAAACTGTTTCATAGGGATTTGCCAATAAGTTAATCAGTGTTCCAGGAAGCAGGCAGCATTCGGAGTCAGAACTGAAGAAGTCTTTTCTTGGAAATTTCCATGATTTTTCTGACATCCAGTAGGCTTCCTTCGAGTTCTTGGTCTTTGTCAGTGTGTCTTCACATTGATTTTTAACAATCTCCTTTATTACATTCCATTGTTCCTCTGGCTCTCTATCAATGAGATTCAGGACTTCAAAGCATTTCCTGATCTTCTTCTAAATGTTTGATATATGCTCAAAATCATATTATGGAAAATAGCTGGCTTTATTTTCTGGTTTGAAACAGAAGATTATGTGGTGGACTTTTGCTCAGTTCTCAGCATGACCGTGCCTGTATTCTTTATCTCTCTTCAAAGGTTTTGTACAAAGGTAATGCATATTGTATGCACAACCACTTTCTTTTAAAAAGTGTTTTGTTTCTTAATAATATGAACTTATTTACTTACTTACTTTCTTATTTATTTATTTACTTATTTATTTAATCTTGATGTTCTTATCATGTCAAAACCACGGTATGGAATATTTCTCAATATTTCAATTTTGACTTCTAGCCTGATTTTTTGATAAACCAGAAAATGCCATCTAGGTTTGACTAGATTTCTGATGGATGAATTTTGTATAAGCACTGCTTTCTTTCTTTCTTTCTTTCTTTCTTTTTTTTAACATACTGTAGATGGATAACAAATTTTATTCTTCTGCCTTCCTTCTCAATTATCATTCCAGATAATCTGGGTGATGTACTTTCTCTTTTTAATGGCCACACATCGCAGACCTCCTGTGGATAGTGTCATTCTATAGGTTAGTCACTATATGACATTCAATATAATGTCATGTATATGCTTCAGCTGAAAGGGTTCTTGCTCCTTTTCTCCCTTTGTTTGAAAGAGGCAATACAATTCTGCACACTTAGTGTATCTTCTTAATATTTCTATGATAGAGTGTATTAATATCCTTGGGCACCTTTAACTGTGACAGTTTTATGATCCAAACTGTCTCAATTATTCATGCAGCATGATCTTTTGTGACACCATTTCTAATACACACTCTTTGTTTCCTGTTGTTACTAGGTAAACACTATATTTGGATTTGTTATACCATATTCACTGGTGGATGTAGAACAATGTGACATCTCTGATTGTACTGGACATGTCAAATCATTATAATGATGCCCCAAAGTGAACAACTATGATTTACCCTGGAAACATTTTCTCTGCAACACCAATTGAAATAATGATCACTTTTCTTTAAAAAAAAAAGAAGTACACCAGGTTACTTACATGGCAAAATTTGATTGGCATGCTGGTAAATTGATTTTGATATTTGTGACAAAATAATCCAGAAGCTCAAATAATATTTAAATGGTGCACCTTAGTAATACATTCCTTAATATTTCAAACAATGGTGTCTTTCTCACTTGTGTTATTAGGAAAGCTAGTAGAACAAAGTTAGTAGAACAAATAGGTCTGTTATCCTTAGCTTATTTTGGTAGAAATTTCACTGACATGCAATACTTTGTATTACATGGGTAATACATGGCCCTTTGACATCTTTTTCACTGGAAGGGTTTAGAAATTATACAACTATAAATGTACACATTATTTTTTTAAATAAATATTGGCAACCATCATGAAGTTAGAGGTCTTCCTGAATTAAAATGGACATCATGTTTCTACTAGAAGAAAGTAAAAGGGCATTTTTTTTTATTTTATGCATTTTCAAGACCTACTGATTTTCTGCAGGTGAAAATTCAGTGCATATTTTAAACCTTTTCAGGAAAACAGCAGGATTTAATTGTGCTTAACTTTAATCAAATCTCTCTCTCTCTCTCTCTCTCTCTCTCTCTCTCTCTCTCTCTCCCCAGGAGGGAAGGGTTCCAGAGATGGCAAAGAGGCATTCAAACTTAAATAGCTTAGTCAGGACAAACAGCATTAAGAAGGCTCCCCCCAGCAGTTCTCAGAGTATATCAAATAGTTGCTTTAGTTTGACAAGATTTCTGTCTATAGATGACAAAGCATAAAGGAAATTGCTCAAAAGTAATTTCATATGTCTGTCTTGGTTCTTGAGGTCTGACAATGTTGCATAACAACATTACAATTTAAATGCATATTAAATCCGGTACATCTGATCTAATTTGTTTCTTCCTGTTTGTTGGACTGCTGCCCACAACATAACTTTCATATAGTCAATGTGGCTTCCACCCTTTCCAAAAACACCACATTAGAGTTTCTAAAACACACACACATACACACACACACACATTAAAGTTTGGTGGAAAAATCTGGAGAGATCTTGGAGCTACAGGGAAAGCTTTGAAAATAATCATATAGGGCATAGGGGTTTCAGAATGTGCATCCTGTCTTACCACAAAATAACTTTAAAAGTATATAAATAACATAAATAAAATTTAGGTCAACACTATCAACCAAAGCCAGAACATGGAGAAATATTACTGAAAATTCATTGACTGTGTTCATGTATGGAACAATCAGCCTCTGTTTGTAAGAGAATATATGTTTATATTGTTTTCAGTTTTTAATTGTTTTGATTGGCCATTAGCATTACTTAAAGAACAAATATAGGTGGTATTTATAGTAGCTTGTTCCATGTAACCTGAAAACTGTTCACCACTGTCGATATCGTTCCTATATTTACCATGTGCCTTTTGGGCTGATTCAACATAAAATTTCTTGCTATATGTTAATCAGAACACTACTTCAAAATGCTTGATCTAGTATCTTTTAATCTGCCTTGAAAATGATAATAGTTTTAACACTACTCCTGTTTTAATGAGGAAAACTTTCCAGAGGTGAAGTGTTACCACACAATAGCCTCCTTATTTGTCACTGTCAGCTTTTCACACTATCCACCACTATTTTTTTGTAAATATTCTTACATATGTAACAAGGATATTTCTGAGTAACAAGTTTTCACTTTTCTCCAGCACAGATCCATATGGATTATTGTTAAAAATGTTTCAGAAGATTTGTTTAATGTGTACATTATTTATGAGGAGTATTTATTATGCCTCCAAATACATTTGGTTATTCTGACACATTTAAAATATATCTGTTGTAATGTATTACTTTCAGAATCAATCATGTTTTGACTGAATATTTTGCTATGTTTTTTCTAAAATTTTATCTTTGTAGAAATTAAAGGCTGTACCTTTACAAGAAAAGCAGTAACTCAGATTCATATGCTTGTCATGATCTTTCAGTAGAACAAACTTATTGATTTCCTCATTTATATCACAAAATGAATTTAAAATATTTATATCCTATCCCTTAATTTCACTGATTTGCAAGGTAGCTAAGAGTTGCAATAAAAAAAGGAATGAGAACAGTTAAACATACTGACAACATCTGAAACAAAAATAAATAAATTGCAGAATTAAGAAAACATAGTCCCAAATCCTTATGATCTATCTGACATCATTTACCTTTTTAAAACATATTGATTTTTTGAGGAGTAAAAATTATGGAGTAGACTAATATGAGGGTAAATATAACACTACTGATAAAGTCAGATGTACATTGGTCCATATATTTTTTAACACAGGAAAAGTCTCTTTTTTTCCATCAAAGACCGAGGTATAAATCTGGAATGCAATTTTGTTGTTTTTGCAGTCTGTCTACCAAGTACCTCAGAGAAATATTTGTGACTTTTGGTTCTTCTTTACCACCTGAATAAGATTAACATTCCCAAAACAAGACACAAAAAGAAAGTGGGCATACAATACATACCAAAACACATCAAACCAGCCGCGTCAACATTGTACAGGAGGGTTTGCACTTATGCAACTTCAATTTCATTAACAATATCTCTGGGATAAATATTTTGGGGCAGGTACCTCACATACCTTTACATTATCTGCTTATAAGATAAAGCAAAACACAACACATTTAATTACAGCCATTCTAGTGGTGGTATTTGACTGGTTCTGCCCGGTTCTGGAGAGCCGGTAGCGCCGATAAGCAGTGGAGACTGAACTGGTTCTCTTCGCTGCTCTGTGTTTGGCCCACCTGACCACCCAGGCTCCCATACTCACTTTTATGGCCAGAATTCAAAGTGCAGCTGCTTTGGGTGGCGCAGAATAGCACCATGTGGCAGCTGCTGCAGTGACCAGCATCGTGCAGGCTTGCAGGAAGCAAGTTAGAATGCCTCTGCGCCCGCGCAAAGTGCGTGTTTGGCATGCGTGTGCACGCAAAGTGTGCATGCGTGCAAAGCGTGGCCACCAAGCCACGCCCACTGAACCAGTGGCAACTTATTTGAATACCACCACTGAGCCATTCATCCACATGAACTCTAATCTCATCACAGCAAAGAATATTTTAATAAAGACATAACTTATGCAGATTGTCTGGTATGTAATTATGGGCAATCTTATTTTGTTTGGCCAGAATAACAAAATAACAGAGCTGGAGAGGACCTTGAATGTCTTCTAGTCCAACTTTCTGCTAAAGCAAGAAACCCTACACCATTTAAGACTAATGGATATCCAATCTCTTTTTAAAAAATAATGGAGCAGCCACAACTTCTGGAACCAAGTTGTTCCACTGATTAATTCCACTAATTAATTCCACTGGCCAAATGGCTACCTCATTTTAGAATTGAAATACAGGATGTTATACAGAGTTATGGAGCCTTGGTGGTGCAGTGGTTAGAGTGCAGTACGGTTGATTCACCCTTCCATCCTTCTGAGGTGGGTAAAATGAGGACCCAAATTGTTGGGGCCAATATGCTGACTCTGTAAATCATTTTGAGAGGGCTGTAAAGCACTATAAAGTGGTATATATGTCTAAGTGCTATTGCTATTATTAGTATTAATTATCCTCTTGGCTTTGTTGAATATAATTGCTTAAGCATCACACACTCATACACACATACCAACACACACACATACTTCTAGATAATACTTCTAGATAAATCAAAGGATGTTGGAGAAGACAGAGTGCTTGATATATGGTTGCATATCCAGATAGGTCTTTGCACAACTTTTCCTTTTAACTTGTGCCAGCAGCCTTCCATCTTATGTCACCTTAGCTACTCTTTCTTTCATGGGCATCAATGGTGGTCATGGTTGGGTTAAGCAAAGACTTGCTGCTTGAGAGCACCTTTTTTCCTTGTTGGTTGTTATTTGGTCTTGTCTTATTTCAACTGATATCAGTTTGTTTGCTCCTGTGTACATATGATACCCTCTCATGCTTAGTTGCTTTCTGATTTCCTCTTTTCTCAACATGATGTCACTTTGGTTCTTCTGACAATCTGATTCTTTCCAGTAGCTAGTGAGTTCCACTTGCTTTCAACCTTTAAAAAGACAGGATTTCCTTGGTATGTTTAACCTGTCACTATAGGTTTATACTGAAACACCAAAAATCCTGACCTGCAAAGTATTATTTTTAATTTTGCTTTGAATTTTCTGTTTTGTGTTGCAAAGAATATTTTTGCAATTTATAAGGAGTGTTGTTTAAGAAAATAGGGAAAATGAAGCTAGTAAAGTTATAATGGCACTTCAGAGACAGAAAGCAAATCATATGATAAATTATTCTGAACTTGTGCACTATTTTTAAAGAAACATTCAACTGCTCACTATGTTAAAATATACAAGTAATGTTTAACTTACAAACATAAATTGGGACTCTAATTTCAGTTGTTAAGTGATATGGTCATTAAGGAAATCATTATATGACTAGATCCAAGTTTATGACCATTTTACCATAGTCATTAAATGAATCACATGGTCATTAAGCAAGTTTGGCTTCCCCAATTGACTTTGCTTGCTAGAAGCTGGCTGAGAAGTCACAAATGGCAATAACCTCACCATAAGACACTGCAACTGTCATAAATGTAAGCTTGTTGCCATATTGTAATTACATGATCTTGGAGGTAGTGTGACAATTGTAATGGGCTGTAAGTGACTTTTTCCAAAACCATTGCGACTTCTAACCATTGTTAAATGAATAAAATGAAGGCTTATCTGTATACAAATGGTTGCTATTAACTGCTCCATTACTAAATGGCAGACTAAGAAGTCAGCGCTTTCAATTTAGAATAGCAAGGGAGATACACTTTAGACATTTTGATTTAAGTGAGCATTAGAGCATGATAATATGTACCCCTGCAATGCTCATCAATGCACCAACAGACTGGTGCAGATATTGATTAGGAATCATCAAGCCAGTGTTGGCTCTTAGCACTCATTCAGATATATCTTCTCAGGATGTTGTGTCCCCAACCTCATCCTTCAAATACATTCGCTTTCCTCTTGATTGTCCCTTTTCTCTCTTTCCTCCTACCTTCCCAGACCAATTGACTTCTCAGGGAAGCTAGTGCCCAGTTTCCTCAAGAGTCTTCTAATAACAATATTTAAAAGCATCAGTACTCTACCAAAGAGTTGAAGTCTTCGATCAAAGACTGAAAAAAACTCATTACCAAAGGGTTTCCATGGAAAGGTTTTGTTTTGTTATTTAACCCATGTGAAAAATGGCAAGGACCCTTTGTGCAGGCATAAAGAATTACCTTTAAGCTTCCCATGGTGTTGTTATCCATGCTTATGTGTAGCTAGCCATCTCCACATTTCTATTCATTCCACATAATAGTCCAAGATGTGTAAATGAGGTCACTTCTATGTAGACATTTTCAAAGATGCATATTCTCAGTTAACCTGTGATTTGAAAGGTTATTCAGAATCGAATCCAGGACCTCTCAAATGAAAGCAAAAGTGTGACAGCTTAGTTATATAAATCAATATTTGATGCAAATTAAATATTTTTCAATGTAGAAGGTATGGTATTCTGAATAATTTTATATTAGCTATAGACTGTACTCAGCAAACCTAAATAATTTGAGTTCTAAGTCTGAAGCTTAAGATGTGAATTAATATCACAATTCATTCAGATTTTTTCAAAACATTGCCTCTAAATATCATTGACTAGAATTCACTACCCTTAATCATATACTCAGTTAAAATTTGAATATCTCCTAAACAGATACGTTAAATGCAAACTCAGGGAGTTTTACAATTCAAAATACTACGGTAGTAGTAACAGCAATGATAATGATCATACTAATAAAGGAAGCATTTTACCCAAACTAATTTTCACTGCAATTCTCATTCATTTCAGTCTGAATGGCTAAAACAGAAAATCTCATTTCTTTTCCTTTTTAATTTTTAGTCTATAAGTTTTGACAGATGACAAGCAATCTTATCTATTTTTCCTCATTTCCATTTTTGGAAGTCTTTAATTCCTGAGGCTCTGATTTTATATCAGTCTGACATGTCAGTCTTCCATTAAAATTTTCTACTGGCTGATAAAACATAGTGGGTTAAAGGGTTCTTTCAGCTTACAAGGCGACTGTCTTCATATAAAACTATTTGCATCCCAAGGAAATTCACCTGAAATTAATAGGTCAGTTGAAGGTCATATAGTTAAAAAAAGCTGGACAAATTTTAAACCACAAGACATTACAAAGAACACTTTTCATTTATTTATTTGTAAACTACCAAAGGGAAATATTGGTATGTATGGCCAATTATCTAACCCTTGCTAAGCTAGTTGCCTTTCAAGTGGAAAATAGACAAAACAACCTGGGTTGTACCTGTAGCAGAAATTAAACAGTTCCCTAAAAACAGTTACCTAACATTATACATATTATAACCACTATTCTGTGTTGAAATGCCTATTTGCCTTGACTTGAAAATGGGTTTGTCAAAAAATTGAAGGCTAAAACAATGCAGTTACAATTTATATACTGAATAAATGACTTACAGTAACACTTCTCTTTCTGGGAGCAGCAACTGTAGACTGTAGGCTTAAGAAAGGAGGTGGACGTAGTAATCTATTTGGTCAATTTAATATATATGAAATCACTAACAGGATCCATTTAAATTCTGCATTAGATCGAGAACTTAAAAGATTGGCATTTAAAATTGACTTTTTAAAATAAAACTTGCCCTAGTACATTTTTGTATGCAACCTTCCTTAGCATTCATTTTATGCGTGCAGCCTTTGAATCTGGAGAAATGTTCAGTCTTAAGAGTAATTGCACTATGATCATCCCAGTAGCCTAGGAAGCAGAAATTAAACAGTTCCCTAAAAATTGAACCTGTTCATCATTCTACTTTCACCCTCTCCAGGAAGGAGCAGGGTGGATTTTCAGAAGATGTTTTGGAAGCTAAGGCAGATATTTAGATAAATCATTAGTTATCTGCTGTAAAAAAAATTGAGAGTTCAAGGTTCAAGATACTGGACATCAACATGATCTGACATATCTTGGCAAATGAATATTCATAGCTCTTACTGTGCTATAATACTTGCAGAAACTGACCAGATTGATTATTTATTTATTTGAAGTCCATTGCAAAAATTATTACCTTGTGATGTTGATAGTTTACAATCCTTAAGAATGTTGCGGACTTCAGATTTTTTTTTCCTTTAAAATGCAGAGGGATGACAAAAGAAGAGAAAGTACTTGAATATGTATACTCTGACAAACACATGTAGGTAAATCATTTGCAATGTAATTGAAAATCTGTCATAAGTGATCATAGGAGAAGTGGATCAAAAATACTGCATTGGTCAAAAGTAATACTAAGATTCCCCAAAACTAACTAATTTGCTAGCTAGTCAGTAACAACAGTAAGCTCTCATATCTGACAACTTATGCTAACCTTTAAGTGGAACTATAATGAAGCATCCCATTCAAAGATTTAAAGGGGGGAAATAAGTCAACTTTACAGAGGGTTTGTCAGCTGGATGAAATAATTTGGTTAAATGAGATATACACATGGCATGGTTTCTAGTATCTATAATACTCAGAGGCTGGAAATGTGGACAAATGTCCACATGTTCCAAATAAACCAGTTTGCTTTGTCACTTTTCTTCTAAAGATAACCAATGAGTTTTATTACTGTAGTTAACATTAAAATCTAATAAAAGACTTCAAATGGTCCCTCTATTCAAAGAGAATGACACCAACAATCTTAGGAGAACAAACCCATCAGGACTAGATTCAGCAGTCCATCTGCATTTTAAAAGACAAAGGCCACTCTTTAGAAGTCCACATTTTGGACAGAGAGGACCGCTGGTTTGAAAGAAGAGTCAAACAGGCCATCTATGTCAAAACTGAACAGCTCTCTGTCAACAGAAGGGGAGAGATATGACATCATCTGCCTCCAGTCTACAACACAGTCTTTTCAACAGTTCCAAGAAGGCTCCACACCCGTTGATCCTAATTAGATTTCATCAAGGAATTCAACAAAGTAGACCATAACCTACTTCCTAGTAAGCTAGAAAAAAGTGGAATAGATAGCACCACCACTAGATGGGCTTGCAACTAGCTGACAAACCATACTCAACGAGTAGTCCTTAATGGGTCTAAGTCTACATGGAGGCAAGTAAGCAGTGGGGTGCCACAAGGTTCCGTCTTAGGTCCAGTACTCTTCAATATCTTCATTAACGACTTAGATGAGGGAATAGAAGGGGAATTTACCAAATTTGCAGATGTTACTAAGCTGGCAGGAATAGCTAACACCGAAGAAGATAGGCTCAAGATCCAGATGGATCTTGACAGACTAGAACACTAGGCCATATCTAACAAAATGAAATTTAATGTAGAGAAAAGTGAAGTCCTACACTTAGGCAAGAAAAATCAAAAGTACACATATAGACTGGGTGAAACCAGGCTCAATAGCAGTAACTATGAGAGGGATCTTGAGTCTTAGTGGACAACCAGCTAAATATGAGCCAGAAGTGGGCAGCAGCAGCCAAAAAAGCTAATGCAATCCTAAATTGTATTAACAGAGAGATACAATCAAGATCAAGGGAAATACTAATACCACTCTATAAAGCCTTAGTAAGACCACACCTAGAGTACTGCATCCAGTTTTGTTCACCACATTATAAAAAGGATGTTGAGACTTTAGAAAAAGTGCAGAGAAGAGCAACCAGGATGATTAGGGGACTGGAGGCTAAAACATACAATGAATGGTTGCAGGAACTGGGCTTGGCTAGTCTAGTAAAGAGAAGGGCCAGGGGAGACATGATAGCAGTCTTCCAATATTTGAGGGGCTGCCACAGGGAGGAAGGGGTCAATCTATTTTCTAAAGTGTCTGTAGGCCAGGCAAGGAATAATGGATGGAAACTGAACAAGGAGAGCTTTAACCTGGAAACAAGGAGAAACTTTCTGACAGTGAGAACAATCAACCAATGCAACAGCTTGCCCTCGGAAGTTGTGGAGCGCCATCACTTGAGACTTTCAAGAAGAGATTGGACTGCCATTTGTCAGAAGTGGTGTAGGGTCTCCCGCTTGGGCAGGGGGTTGGACTAGATGACCTACAAGATCCCTTCCAACTCTGATTATCTGTTAAATCTGTTAATGACATAGATAAACCTCCTTAAGATGTGAAGATGCTAAAAGGATGCAAATGACCAGCTGCCTGCAAGTAGTATAAATCCTTCCATTTCCCATCATCCAGTCAGAGCTGAAGAAGCTTCTTGGATGAGAAGTGAAACGTCTTCAAAGCAAAACCAGAAAGTCCAGTTGCTTTTTGAAAAACCACCTTTGGGACAACCATGGCTTGGATGATTGAGAATCTCCTTAGATAGAATACTGGAATGGTTTGCCATTGCTCTCTCTGTTGAGTTATATTTACCCTGACTCCTCTTCTATGATTTGTCCATGATGGGTCAGTCTCCTATAATATAGCTAATAGTGTCACTGAGATGTGCAAACTATTTCAACACTACAAGTTTGCAATCCAAAAAGAGTTTAGTGCATTGTAATTATCTACCCAAGACATGAGAAAGCTACCTGATTAGGACCAGCTATTGAGAAAAAAGGGGTTACTGGATAATAGTACCCCCCCCCAAGTTCCAATGTTAACAGGTAGTCTACTAAGTTACTATGATATTGAATCATCCAGATTTCAATTAATCACTTTAAACGATAAGAAGTACAAAGTGGCTTTCTGCCAGGGAGAAGTTGTATAGACCAGATGTTTGTTCTTCCAAATGTCATTGAGAAGTGTATGAATGTGGGAGAGAAAATTGATTTCTCTCTATTGATTTTGAAAAAAAAGATATGATAAAGTGAATAGATTTGAATTATGGAATGTTTTGCACAAATATGTAATTGAAGGTCCTTTGCTGAATGCAGTAAGAATGATACATGATGGAAATAAAGCATGTGTAAGAATAAATGGAATGCTTAGTGAATAGTTCACTGTTGAACAGGGAATAAGCAAGGGTATGTGATGTCTTCCTGGTGGTTTACCATATTTATGGGCAAATGTATAAAATATGCTTGTTATGATGTACAAGTTTGTTGATTTATATGCAGATGATGCTGTGTTGCTGGCTGAGAAGTCAAATGATTTGAAAGGAATGTTAGACAGAGTACAAGATGAAATAAGGAGTAGGTATCTGAAAGTGAATGTATTGAAGACAAAGATAATTTCATTTAACAGGGAAAATGGAGCCAATACACTGTGTACAAGTGAGTATTTTGACCATATCATCATTTTTATGCATATTTTCCTCCTTCAAGCTGTATAAACTTGAATGCTTAATGGATATAAGCAAATCAGGTGATGTGTACTTGTGTAATGAGGGAAGGTGTGGCCTAAGGAGATCAACACCCTATGTCAAGGTGTGCATAATTATTTGGCAGCTTCTTTTCCTCAGACAAAATGGGCCAAAAAAGAGATTTAACTGACTCTGAAAAGTCAGACATTGTAAAAAGTCTTTCAGAGGATGCGGCACTTTTGAAATTGCCAGATTTTAGAAGACACTTTCTTCAAGCAGTGGTACAGGAAAAAGTCTGCATCTTTCATGAAGACTGTGATTTTTATGCAGGACAATGCTCCATGAATGCATCAAAATACTCTACTGTGTGGCTAGCCAGTAAAGGCCCTTAAATATGAAAGAATAGTGATATGACTCCCTTCCTCACTTGATATAAACCCTATTGAGAACTTGTGGGCCCTTCTTAAATGGGAGATTTATAGTGAAGGAAAATAGTACACCCCTCTGAACAGTGCTTGGGGAGCTGTGGTTACTACTGCACAAAAAGTTGATCATCAACAGATCAAGAAACTGGTAGGCTCCATGAATGATAGGCTTATGACGGTTATTGAAAAGAATCTATTGGTCACTCTTTTTTTTTTTGAAATGTCAAAAATGTTTATTTGTACATTTTGAGTTGTTTGTTTGTTTTTCTCACTTTAACAGATGCAAATAAATGAGTGAAATGGGCAAAATTTCATTTTTCATTTAATTGCATAATAATTCTGCACCCTAATAGTTGCCCAATAATTGCGCATAGATATTCTCCCAAGAAAGCTAAAACCTTACTTTTACTTTCTTAAATATTCAGGTTGACTGAGAGCATTGTAGCTGTTCAATAATAAAATTAATCCTCCATAATACAACTTGCCTAATAATTTTGCACACAATGTCATGACAAGCTGCTTGTAAAATGTGAACAGCTAGAACAAGTAGATGAATTTGGTGGATTATTTTCTAAAGATAATGGATGGAGAAATTTCAAGACATGCAAATTCTGCTAGAAAGATCCTTGGTCATCAATACTTTATATAAGAACATATTTCTGACCACTTTGTTCTATGAAAGTGAAAGTTGGGTATATCTCAGAAAGTGTAAACATTGAATTCATTGGGAATGGTGTTAAGATGTCTGTGAGGTAAAACAAGAATGATAGGATCAATAATAAACAGATAGTGAACAAATGTGAATTGAAGACAAAAGTAAGAAACCAGTATGGAAAAAAAAGATGTGTTGCATTGATAGATTAAATCGCAAACAGATATATAAAGGAAAAGACAATAGATTGAAAGGGAGAGGAAGAAAATTCCATCATGTTTGGATGGAATTGATGAAATCCCAAAAAAGAAATGTGATAAATGTAAAGAAAAAAAAGCAATGTGACTACCACTGAATGCCATCTATTGCTAGGCTAGACTAGCTTCTTGTACAATTGGTTGGCCAATGGACCAATCTAGCAGAGCATGGCTTCCATTCTTCTGTTCTTAATGCATAAAGAAATATGTGGACATGATGATCTTCAAACACAGAAAAATATAAAGATGTATACCAAATTATGACATTAACTAGTTTTAGCTGTGTTTCCTTTTTTTACTTCAGACATTTAATTTTGTTTAACTATAAGTTCTTATTTTTATGGCCTTTTGTATATTTGTATTATTCAGAAAAGAAGTAGCATAACTGACATATATACAGTATTGCTACTATTCTTTCTCAAAGAGAGGTTGAGCGTACGATTCCAAAGGACATTTTCTTGGTCTGCAGAGAAGCTGATAGGCTGAATTGCACCCCCCCCCCCCCCAAAAAAAAAAAAGAGAGAGAGAGAAACAGATTTTTCTGATCAGGGCTTGCTTTCAAGTCCAATGCCAGAAAATCTCCAGAGAACTGGAATTAATAAGATAAAATTGGCAGGGAATCAGTGTTCAGTCTGTGTCAACACACTGCACTTAAAATCACTTGGGTCTGGAGTTTCTGATAAAAAGGGTCATCTGGAACCATTTACTCTGAGGAAGGAAGATTTTCTGCCTCATCTAGACTCCAACTGGGTAAAACCATGTCTCTAGTCAAGAACAGATGTTGGCAGCATAACTACCTATCTCAGTATAACTCTTTCACTGGAAAAACAAACACCATATCTAAAAAAGTCAAGAAATTCAAACAGAGGGAATATGGGGAAGGAGATTCCCTAAAAAGATCTAGAAAACTTGGGTGAATGTATGGATGGATATTCCCCTTCCCGTATGTTTAATTAGGTTCACAAAAGCCCAGGGTTGCATACATGATGTTTTTGTGGAAATATTCAACTGGTGCATTGAGTAATTGTCATTTGATCTGATTTGATCTCAGCTTCCATATATTTGTGCTTTGTTTAAACAGGTTTTTGTGTGGTAAATTTATAGAAGAGCATATCTGAATGCCATCACAAGGAGTAGAAAGATATATTCTACTCTACAGAATACTCCCATATCAGGTAAGAGAGGACAGAACCTTTCTCAAGTATTTCTGATGCTTCATTCTGACTCTTCTGCAAATTAACCTGGATCGATATACACAATTTTCTGGTCCCATCCAAAAACAGACATTGGATTCAATCAAATTTAATCCTGCTTAGTGAACCAATAAAGAAAATCTCCCATGCCTAATTGAAGTCTTATTGA